TCGCGCATTCCCTCTGCGCTGGCCATCGACAGCCCCAGAGCAGGAATGGTCGTCACTGAGCACGTGTGCGGTGGTTGTGAGAAGGTTACGCCTGTGGAGATGCGAAAAGAAGTACACTTGTTCATAATTAGCACTGATTGTGTTAAGGAAAGCGGGACAATGCACGCACTGTATCCGCCGACTCCCGCTTGCAGGCCGTGCAAAGGCTTGTGGCATGATTGGCTGTCCCCCTACCCCTGCCCCCCTACCCTGGAGCTCCAAATCGCGTTAGACGAGAAAGGTCCCAAGGAGGGTGGGGTTCCTAAACATGCCCTTGGGGCCTCCAGAGACTCTAAATCAACACTCCGTCGCCCCAAGGATGACCAACATACCATCTCAGCTGGCCCAACGAGCGCCAAAACAATCCAAGGGAGCGCCGAGATGGCCCACGGCAACCCCGCGGCGGTACAGGATGGCATCAAGACGGTCTACGAGGCCCTCAGGACGGCCCAAGAATGCTCCCAGAGGGCCGCCGAAAGAGCCCCAAAAGGCGAAAGTTGCCCCACTCCTGTGGGGCAACGTGCATGTTCGGTACCCACACACATGTTCTTGAGTCGGCGGCGCAGGGGGGCCTCAGGCGCGGTCGGCAGAGGAGGTGCCAATTGCGAACGAACTTACTCGAACGCACCGTGATGGGACAGTCCAGTCACGGCCATGCAACAAGGTGGCGAAAGACATGAAGCGCTGAAACAGCCGAAATGCAGCGGCCAACGAAAGGACGATCAAATCGACCCGTACATGTTGCAACGACAGCAGCAGTCTGGTGCGAATTGGTGCCGCTGAGCCAACGGACAGGTGTAAGAAAGTGAAGACACAAGATAAAAACTTGTAAAGCTGCCACAGCTACAACCTGGCCAAACTGACGGGTAGGGTGCTAGCCAACGAACCAGCGACGCCCGATGCGAACCGTAAAACGGAGTGCCAGATGGGTGGTGGCATAGCAGCACACGCCTCCAAAACAAGCCAGTGCCAAAGACACGCCCGGACTGGCCGAATACAGGCTGCAATAGAGGTGCCGACCAAACTATATTGGTAGGGTACCGCTCGAGCATCGCAAGTAGAGACGCGAGGTGCCCTGTACGCAACGCCGTCTGGGTCGCCATCAAATCGGCACAGGACGTCTCAAAAAAGACGCGGAAGGCGCCGCGAGGCTCGCAGAAGGTCCAGTTGAAGAACCTACGCCAAGCCTGCAGGAAGGCACCACATGCAGGACAGACCTCGGCGGTGGAAAACGCGAGACCACCCCAGGAGGCCCACCCACGAGGAGCCAAGAACCCCGACCAAGCTCGAGCAGTTCGGAGGGCCCAGAAGACGCGGCGCCAGAAGAGAGAGCTTCAGGCGCCAGAGGGCTCAACCCCCACGGCGGGGACGACCCGGAAGAGGGGGGAGAGGGGGGGAAAGAGAAAGCCAGGCAGAGGCAGGAGGGGGCCCGGAAAGACGACGGCGGGGGACCCCACGACACGGCCGAGCCCACGACCGACGACGACGGCAACCGAACGAACCGCGCGACCCACGAGGAGGTTGGGGGGACCGACGAGCCACCACGGAGGGAAACGCCGCTGGAGGGCGGCAGAAACGTCGCGCCACCTCCGACAGGAAACAGAGCACCACGGGGCAGACGTAAGGCCGGGAGCTGCGGAAGCAAGGGCAAGTGAAACACGGCGGAGCCAAGGGCGATAGAGCGGCGCGCACCTAAAGCGACTCATCGGTGAATAACGGGGCACAGCAGGCGACGCATCGGCGTGTATGACACGAACGAGTGATCGGCGTGTTACGAAGCAAGCAGCGACAGATCAGTGCCTGTCCGATGTGTGACCACCCGACTCAAGAACTGTACCGCGGTGCACTACACACGCTGCAAAGAAATCGCGCAGGAAGCTGACGTCATGCAACCATGGGTCCAGCGCGCAGCCGACGAACATTGAGCAGTGAGCTCTCCAAACTATCTTGCCCTGGCCCCCAGCCGCTTGATACGGGCCACGAGCTGTTCCTTGGAGGCAACCGCCAAGCCAGCCAGGTGTCCGGCCGAGTCAGGGCCCTCGTCTGCTTCGGCCTGTCCAGTCAGGCCTGCCAAGGCTGGCGGGGCGCGAGTGCCAGCCCTTTGCCACCCGCACATTGGTAGGGAGCACAG